GTTGCACGGATGTTAATACAGCATCGTATAATGCATAAAATTAGCTTTATAACGCATATTATATCGTTATAATAGCTATAAAACCTATTAAGATATCGTTAAATAACGATATATGGGAAATCAGTGGAATTTACCTTATACTAACCTATAGTTAGTATAGCACCACTTATAGCTATTATTTATAGTGCTATATAGTTAATAAGTTATTATAATTAATTATTATGGCCATTATGGCTATTGGAACCCATTGGAATCTAGTGGAACGTTCCATTGGATCCAGCCCCACTAAGTGTGGCTAGTGCACCTGGTTATAATAGTCTTAGGTTATAGGGTAACCTATATTATAGAAATTTATAGATTTCGATAATTTTTTCGATTATAAATTAATTTTATTATTAATTAATTTAATTATAAATCTAATTTATTAGTAATATATTTTAGAATGTTTTTATTAGTTAATTTTATAGGTATAAAAGGTAGTTATTTTTTTATAATTAGTTATTTTTTCTTTAAGCTTTAATAAATTAGTTATATAGCTTTATAACTATTTTTACGGCCTAATTTTACGAATTATATAAACGCTTCCTTGTGCCTAAATTTATAATTTATTAATTATACTTTAGAATAAGTTATAAGCCCGGTTTGGTATAATATCGATTATATTTAAATACCGGATTTATTATCGAAAATTATAGCCGCTTTCCTAAACGAATTAATTTAACGTAGATTTTAGAATTCCGTTATAATAGACGATTTTTTATAAGCCTATATATAAGCCTATATAAGCCGTAATTATATCGAAAATTATAATTAAATGGCTAATTATAATAATTTTACCCGTTATAGCTATATAACGGCTATAAAATTATTTATAATTAGTCCTTATTATAATAGCCGATCTATTATAGCACCTTATAGCACCTGCTATATTATATTATAGTACCTAGATCCCTTTATATATTTTATCGATAAAATAAAAGAATTAATTTTTTTTATTTTTATTTTTTTAACGATTTCTTTACCGTTTTTAACGATAATTATACCGTTATAACGGCAAAAATTCGGCAAAATAGATAACTTTATCCGTATTATTACCGAATGCCAAATGCCGGAGAAATAGAAATTTTCCGGATCCGGAAATTGGAATACGTGGAAATCTACGTTATAATTATATCTTAAACTGCTAGGAATCGATCGGTTTTTTAAAACTACCGATATATATAACGGTATAACCGATATTTAGAAAGCCTAGGTATTGCTTTTGATTCGTTAGAATTTAATAATAGAACCGTTAAATCTGATATTCGATAAAATGGATTTATATAAAGCCTTATCGATTTTATAATTAGCTTATTAAGGCACCGGACCCGTATTACGCTAGTAATTATATTTCGAATTTTATATTATAAAATTCGAGAATTATAATTTGTTAAACGAGTTTATATTTATTTTTAAAAGATATATTTTAAAGTTTTTAAGCGTTAGGGCTAAAATCGATAATATCGATTAAAAGACGATTTTTATTGTAGCCCTCTAGTTAGCTTACCCTATATAGGCTAACCGTTAACGCAGTGCTTTACGGTTTATAAATCTACTTATTTTTAAAGGGTTAATTACGGATATTTTAGATAAAAACCGACGGAATCCGGATACGGC